ATTGAATCAAAACATTACATATTTACAGTTTTTCTGGAAGTATATAAATAAACAACACCCATAGTTTTTCTTTTTTTTCTTTTTTTTTTCTTTTTGGATGGCATTCATTGAGCATACATGAGCATTCATTGAGTTTCATGGAGATATACAGAAAAATCAATCGCTAAGCATAAATGGAACTTGCATTAAGGAAACTGCAAACGATAACTAATTATGATAAGTTGCCATGTAAATTACTCTGTGGCAGTCCCAGCAATCAATTTCAAACACAAACAGTCCAAGCCCCTGGTTGCAGAAGATGAGCTCTTACCAACAAAATAAAAATAATGGCAGGAATGCCAACGATGACCAAACCCGAGGGTTATCATCTCCAAGAAAATACCCTAAAGGTTGTCTCTTCATTTTTTTGTTTCTTTCTTGTAAGTATTTATGATATAATTCTTCATGTAGCAAGCTAACTATAGCACATTGTCGAAATTGTAGAAGCATCAGGAAACAATTAAGGGATGGTCACTGGGTTTGCAATTAATTTACAAATTGTACATGCAGACAGACTGTACTGGGATTCTCAAGGTGAGAGCTATTGGTGAGATGATGGCAAATGTCCCAGATCTTCACCACCATTACTCTTGGCTCAGGTCTTCTCTGTACTGAGGAAGAACTAGAAACTCCATTTTCCAGGATCCCTTGCAGTGAAACAGTATAGCTTTGAGTCCCTCCAAGAGAGGCACAGGAATTGATTTGGGATTTAAGATAGAAAGTCAAGCAGAGGGCCCGGCGCGGTGGTGCAAGTGATTAAGGTCCTCGCCTTGCACACCCCAGGATCCCATATGGGCGCCGGTTCTAATCCCAGCAGCCCCACTTCCCATCCAGCTCCCTGCCTGTGGCCCGGGAAAGCAGTCAAGGACGGCCCAAAGCTTTGGGACCCTGCACCCGTATGGGAGACCCGGAAGAGGCTCCTGGCTTTGGATCGGCATAGCATCGGCCATTGTGCTCGCTTGGGGAGTGAATCATCGGATGGAAGATCTTCCTGTCTCTCCTCTCTGTATATCTGCCTTTTCAATAAAAAAAAAAAATAAAATAAATCTTTAAAAAAAAATAAGAAAGGCAAGCAGGGCGACTCGTAGACTGGAAGCAGTTCCCCCAGCAAACCCCTCCAGAGACACCTGTACAAGAGTAGAACTCTGAAAAGGCAGCAGGAGTTCCTCAGGTGGCCCTGTGAACCACCCTGGGATGCTTCAACAAGCTCTTGGGAACCCCGAGCCTCAGCACTGGTATGGAAACCTCATCTCCATGTTGCCTTAGCTCAGACTCTGCAAAGTCACGAATAGCAGTGGACACACGTGGGCCATGCTGCTGTGCAGCTCAGTGCCCCAGTTTGCCCTTCCCACATTGGCTGTACATGTCCAGTATGAATAGGGTGACCCAGGATCTCAGGGCACAGAGTTCTGATGGGTACCACTGCTGTTAGAGTTTCACTGGTTAATTTTTGGTATCTTCCTCTGGTAAGTGGGAATAATACTTGCTATCTGTATGTCACAAGGTAATACTATAAATGATCCTGAATCCTGGATGCTCTGCTTCTGGTCCAGCATCCTGCTGTGTCAGAAGATGGCTCAAGCACTTGGGTCCCTGAAACCACTTAGGAGACCCGAATGGAGCTCCATGATCCTGGCTTCAGTCTGGCCCAGCCCTGGTCTTTATCACCACTGGAGAATCAGCCAGTGGAGAGAAGACCAGAAGACCAGTTCTACTCTCCTCTGTGTCTTTTACCACAATAAACAAATTTCTCAAAACAAAGATTGATGGCTTTTATCCACGACAATCAGATTCTGAAAGCCACCAAGTCAAGATCTATGAAGCACACTCTTCCCTTCACTATCCCCAACTCCAGAAAGATGGGTCTCCTATGTGACATGGAATCCAGTTAGTTTGCAGAGATATACAAGATACCAATTATCTCCCCAGTTTCTAGCACTCATTTACCAAATACATCTTGGAGCTGCAATCAAGCACAAGAACCGGTAACATGCACTACAGACACAGTGAAGAACACAGAACATCTCCTCTAATCCTCCCAAAAGTTCTAGAGTGGCTGGCAGGACAGCTGCTCAACAGGGAAATTTTGCTGGAGATGAATGTGCAAGCAAGGATGCGGGGAGTACCCTGTGCAGCTGTGGTATTCAAGGTGACCACTGAAGGAAGAGTAGGAGTCAGAGACGTGAAAGAGAAGAGTGGAACAGAATACAAACTCCCAAGGAGCTTTCACGTGGAGGATTTAAGTCACACATATACTGATTTCATCCCAACAAAGCAGCGTTTGCACAACTGCACTAAGGAGGCAGAAACAAATATTCTAAGTAGCTCAAAAAAGGGTAAAATCAATAGAGCTCAGGTCAGGCAAAGTTCTATGCCAGAAGCTCTGTGCATTACTGTGCCTGTGCTAGATGGGCTCATTGTAAACTACAGATGGAGAAAGAGGGTCCCCCTTGTCCTGACCATTAGTCAGAACCAGAGACTTCCTTTGCATTTGGATCCAACTTCCTAGAACCAGAATCTCAGGCCCAGCACACTCGACATTGGAAGTTACATAAAAGGACAAGCAAAGGGGAAACGGCACGTATGGAAAAACAGCAATTTGCACATGAACCACTGCCCACCAGTTTTTGTAGCTGTTGGTGCGGAATGAAAAGAGATTGGGAACTGGATGAATCAAAAATTATTTTCAAATAGAACTTTCAGTTATGATTTTAGTGACGGTATTTCAGTCACCATGAAAGGTTTCACCCAGGAAGGAATTGATGTCATTTACCTTTGCACCACTGAAAGATCCTTTCTGCATAAATGCCTGCTAGCCGTTCGCAGCTGGGTACTAACAGACGGCACTCATTCATCCAGTGATTAGAGAAACACAGTGTAGCCGAGTACTTGTCTTCAATACAGAAACAGCAGAGCATTCATGATTTCATTTTGGGGGCCAGAAAAATGGTTCTTGTTGTGTATGATTCATAAGCTGAAATAGACTAGTGTTATCTTTGCCCATCCAGGGAATGATCCAATAACCACTTTTAATGAACTTCTGGTTTTCTCATTTTTGCTCTCCTCATGGCCAGAGAACATCATGTCATGTTGCAGACTTGATTTTTTTCAGCACCCAAGTCCTAAGTACAGATCACACCACCAGTGTGGAATGTGGACAGAGGTCCCTCAGCAATACTGAGATGTCTACTTTTGGCTCCCTCTATACAACATTTGTGCGTGCGTGTATGTATGTGATTCCATTGAAGCTGGGCCTTGATCTCATCAAGGCCACCTATCATTACTTTAGCTACTTTGTGGTTTTTTTTTACATGTTATTTGCATATTCACATTTTCCACGTTTTATACAAATGCCTTTATGACTCCTTGCCTTATCATCTATTTCTTTAAGGCTTGAGTTGCTCTTATGAGTGCTAACATGGCAGATAATAGTTACCCTATGCCTGATGATCATCATTTATCAGATCACATCCTCCCAATATGTAATCCCAATTTCATGGCCAGATAGACCTTTTACAAGGGGGCCAGAGGTCTGCGAGACTTCAGTCCCACGGCATCAGCTTCAGAGTAAAACCTTCCTCATTCAAATGGAAGAAGCCAATAAAGAAACCCATGGGGATATGATGCTAATGTAAGAGTTAACTTGTTGCTCTCTCTCTATGCGGTACTACCTGCCTAGGACAATTTGCAAAAACAGGGAGCAGTGTCTAAAGGCACCCATTCTAGATTTTCACAAAAACATTCAGCGAAGGAGTCCTGCCCCTCATACCACTCAGAAGACAAATTAGCAGCTATGCATAGCCCCTGACTTACAGCAAAACTGATTTTCACAAAACATACTTAATGAAGGGCATCACAATCAAATCTTCTTTAAATCTAAGAACATATACATGTAGAAAAGCTCTACTGAAGCCCAGACATCAAGTCTGGAACACAGGTCCAGATGACAGATCCTTCAAGCTGTGCATTCTGCTCCTGGTCACTTCCTGCAGACTACTGGTGGTCCCTCAACTCTGAATCCCCATGTCCCCTCAAATGGATGACTCTGCCAGGTTCTCATTCTCCTTTCCTCTGACGTGCACATCTTGCAATGGAGCTCAAACAAGCCGGAGACAGCCTTTATTCAGTGTTCCCTACAGGGTATTTCTTGCTTGGGGAAATAGCATTTAAAGTGTGTTCATCCTTCTCAATTAAACCTCAGAAGACAGATCCACAATTAAGAAACATAGCTGCAGTCACAACTAGGACAAAACAGGGTAAACAGGTTGCACCGCAAGGCCTTCTCCTACCCCTATCAATTCTAGCTAAGACAATCATACAGTCCTTGACCCAAAGGGCCAGCCTACAGTGAAGGTGTTTTCAAGCGTTATTCTTTCGCAGCATTTTGACTGCTTTGAATCTGAAGGCTCCAGAAATGGCAGTAGGAATTTGAAGCATTGGAAGAAATGAAGAAAGTAAATCAACATTTCGAGGTTAGGAGCAATTCAGCACAAACAACACACAGATTGTCTCCAAGGCTGCCAGGCAAATTGGAATTCCCTTTAGCTGTAATGTGCAGTTCATTCACGTTGAAATTACAGATTTCAACTATTATACTTCCAAATAATGATACTTTCACAAATATTAGCAAGTTTCCCAATTTCTCCCCATTACTGTGGCAGGGGGTAATGAGTTCCTGGGTAATTGTTAAGTTACGATAATCTCTTTATTAAAAGGAAAAAAAACTTTCAAAATTATATTGTACTGTGGATTTATATGCCTCCCCAGTAGACCGCTACTGAATTCTGTTTAATATGGGTTAAAATCACTGGGTTTCACAGGTATGGTTTTCTCATCAAGGACTTAAAAAAGCCCTGGTATTCCTTGTAAAGAGGCGTCGCGACACCAATGAGCTCAGTGCTCCATGTGACCAACCGCCCCTCCAGTGCCACCACTGAGAGCAATAAACTCCGAGTTCCTACCTCGATGACTGGTGAGCTCCCTGGAGGCAGAAGGCAGCGGTGTGTAGTGGCGCTCTGGAGAGGGAATGACATCCTCACTGGAAACCTGGAAGACAAAGAACAATGTCTCCATGAAGTAATGAAAAATGCTCATCTGCCAGTTGGCCCCCTGGAATCAGAGTCTAGGATACCATCCCCTGAGATTCTGCCTAGGAAGCAAAGTTTGTCTTTGATGGACATGCTTTTGTGGATAGGGTAGCACATCGTGCTTTGAGTGGCCTCAGAATATGGGGCTGGGCTCCAGGACAAGGAGATGGCTTGTTTACTGCACCAAACTGAAAAGCGAACAAAAAGTGAATGAGACAAGCTGAGGGCCTGGCCCAGTGGCTCAGCAGGCTAATTCTCCATCTGCAATGTCAGGATCCCATACAGGTGCCGGCTCTAGTCCCTACTATTCCACTATTCCAGCTTCCTGCTTATGGACTGGAACAGCAGCAGAGGATGGCCCAAATGCTTGGGCTTCTGAACCCACATAGAAGATCTGGAAAAAGCTCCTGGCTTTGGACGGGGTCTGCTCTGGCCGCTGGGGTCATTTGGTGAGTGAACCCATAGACTGAAGGGCATGTTCTCTCTCTTTCCTCTCCTCTCTGTAAATCTCTTTCAAACAAAAATAAATCTTGAGAGAAAGAGAAAGAGAGAGACTAACTCTGAAGGCATATTCTAGCCCAGGTCTTCCTCTAGTAATTCCCACAAAGTAAGGCAAACTGTTACAGAGACCAGCAAGCAGGGTGAGCTTCTTGACTCCACGACTTGGGAAGGCCAACATGCCTCTGCAGCCTGTGTGAACTGGGGCTCTGGCCGAGTTTACTACTAGCACTGAGAACTGGGGCTCTGGCCGAGTTTACCACTAGCACTGAGCACTGGGGCTCTGGCCAAGTTTACCAATAGCACTGAGAAGTCCATTTGAAATTTGGATTTGACACACAGCTTGAGAATCCCTTATCTGAAATGCTGGGGACCAGATGTAATTTGGATGTGGGATTTTTTTTCAAACATTTTAATATGTGCACATAAATAACACGGTATCTTGGGGATGGGTCCCACATCAAAATTTAAAAATCCAGTTATGTCTTACATGTACTTTAAATGTGTGGCCCAGATTTAATTTTATATATTGTTTTTAATGTACCAAAGTCACGATTTTGACCTGTTACTAGAGGTCAGTTGTGGCATATACCACATGTGGCTCTATGTCAGCACTTCAAAAGCTTCAGATCGGGGAGCACTCAGATTTTCCATTAATCCCATTAAGGATGCTCAGCCTATACAGTGGTTATCAATAAACCTTTGTTATTCCAAGGCCCAAAAGAAAATGACATGATATCACAAAATATATGTTTGTGAGCAGCCTTAGCACTGCTCACACACAGCTCTTTAAACCTGCAACTGCATGGCCCAAGCTGCTACCTCTCTTCTGCCTTGGCCCCCAACTCTATGTCCTCATGGTCTGGGAGGCTGCTGTCCCTCACACCAGTGACCAGCATGTCACATTCAGAGTGTGGTTGCTAAGAAGCATTATCATGGCAATTCCCAAGTCATATTTCCAAATCAAATGAAATTTTTTTTAATATCCAAAAAAGAACATCTGCTAGGATCAAAATCCTAAGCTTACAAAATTTCCAAGCTCCACGAAAAAGTAAATTTCATTAGCACTACATTTTTCTTTCCGGCATAGGAAATACACTCGATGGGATATATTTGCACTGCTGGAAGCAAGCCTTTTCTCAAAAGAGATTACCTACATTGTGGGAATCAAAACTAAGTAGCAGATTAGACCTACTTGCTAGAAAAACCCTTTAAACTCCATTTCTGACATTTGAGATGTTTGATTAAGCGGCTTTCACTGGAGCCTTATGGAAGGAGTTCTGAATGGAGTAAGATCAGAAGCCATTCCCCAGATAGAAACAGACTGCAGGTAGCATTTCTTCACTCCAGCGCCAAGGCAAATATATGATATTTAAAGCTCAAACCAAGTGGAGAGGGCACTGAAAAACAAAAGCTCAGTATCCAAGGGAAAGCTTTTATAAAGTAGCAAAGACTCACTATGTACTTGATCATTAGACATTTAGGATGTTGCAAGAATGAAAAAAGTCAGGAAACTCATTAACAAATAAGATTAGAGATCGGTATTCAAGGGTTCTTTAATGTCTATGTGATGGATCAAATGCAATGATACTGTTCTAAAGACTGCATCAGGCCACTTGGTAAGACACGTGAAACAAGGGAAATGAGGATCAACTTCTATTGGTGTGCCTTCCCTCCTTCCTTCCTAACAAGTTGGAGCTTGTCCTCCATCATCAAGGTTTCTGGTCCACATCATCGCTAAAAGAAACCCTCAACTCCAGCAAGTTTCAGAACGCTATGTGGCGATATTTTTTAGTTCTTTTTAATCACCATTTGAGCTGCTGACAGTTTGATGACAGCTCCTCCTAAAACTGCTGAAAGAAATGCTACCTTTGAGCAAATACCTGACTGTGCAAAACATTATCTTTCTAAAACCAAAAGTAAGACAGCCATTTAGTTTCAGTTCAATTACCAGAGCAAAATGGTGTATGTGGCATTGTTTCTGCAATGATCAGTATACAGTCAACAATTACTCTCCTGCTCAGTGTTTATTTATAAACTCGAACAAGTCTGACTTCCGGTGGGACTCATAGATATCACATTCCAACTTTAGACTCCACGAGTTGACATGCGTCTAAAGGAAGCCCATGTGACTTTTTCAACAGAGATGTTCACTTACTCTAAACCTCACACCCACAAGCACAGATCAGAGAAAAACACAGAAATCATGTAAAAAAAAAAAAAGTAGACAAGATGATGTTTTAAATTCTCACACTATCTGTCAAGGAATGAAGAAATGACCTTGAAACTGAAGGAACACATTCATAGTACATTAAGCTTGAAATCATAGACATGTAAGCAGAAACATTTAAATGCCATTTTTTTTTTTACCTGTGAACTAAGTAGAGACACACAAGTTGAGAATAGGAAATTTGGGTAAATTTGTATTTTCAAGATTATCGAGGCTCAAATATCTAAATGAATGGTAATCATTTAAAAAATTCAAACAGGAAAAGACCTGAAGGGCTAACAAGCAGATTTGATCCAATTTGCCAGTAGGAAGGCCAATGCAAATTAAAGGAGATTTCTTTTGTCATATTATTACCAAACTTTTCAATCTCACAATAAATGACAGTGAAAAGGGAAGGAAACTACTGTCCTCTTCCCCCAACCAGTAGGAAAAAACTACACTATAGAGTAACTCAGCAATACCCAACAAAATTGAAAATTAGGGTAATTTCATTTCAAGTAACTATATATATATACACACACGTGCATATAGAAACAAATACATAAAAATAGAAACTATAACTACTGGTTGGCAGCTATACATGTTCCATTTCACTCAACTTTCCTACATTTTTGACAGTTCTCAAAATTACACATGAAAAGTGCCCCCCAAAACAACAGCCTTGTGTTTCTTGGATGATCCAGGCCGTCCTGTGTTGCTAGGATCCCATAAAAGGAAATTTCCTCTAACAATGCTCTACTACTTGCATTACCCGGATTTAACACTATTTCTGGTTGGCTTTTTGTGATGAAATATCTCATTCCCATTTCCTCTAAAGCTGCTGCTGATGAACTATAAAACAGGAATAAGGTGGTAATGCCAAACACATAGTCCCTTCCCGCCAAACTTGACAAATTCCTAATAGCCTTGGAAGTCTTTCTGCAGATCTGTCAGAGCACACTGAAGGCTTCTCTACTCTTCTCTTACTGACAGTTGAAGAGTTACTGATTTTTAAAAATTCCCATCAATAATGGTAATAGTCACTAATATACTGCACTCTGCAATTTCCATAATGTAGGAAGAAGGAAGGTAGAGTTTTGGCAACCTGCTTGAAAACGAATCAATGAAGGCACAGTTCCCTCGACATGAGACTTGCAGAGTGAGAATTCCAGTTGGTTATTCCATAAAGCAGATTCAGTTTTCTGTAACTGTAAAACAGTGTCTTCAGATACACACGTTAAAATTCGGGTCCCTCCCTGATGGGTGCCATTGCACAATCACAGCAGCCCAGCAGGTACTACTGTGCATCCCAGAGGCCCTGAAGGAACATGATACAGACCACAGGAAGAGACACTTGGCAGGCTTCAAAACAAGAAGAGGGCAGCTACAAAGTTGTTTAATAGCCATAAATCTCCCACTATTTTTCACAAAATACCACCTAAGACCACAGCTCCACAACTCATTCCCCATCACTCAGCTCAAGTGGAACGCTTGGGCATGCTCACTCACCCTTAAATCATACGCCGCAGCAAGCGATCCCAGGTCTGGGAAATTTGTCAGCTTCTTTCAAGTAAAAGCAATCTTCGCTTTTCATCACAATTCATTCTTCCCAACCATGGTATAAAGCTGACTCTTCTAAAAACACTTATTTTTCTCTCATAAGAAAAAGCATCACTCATTTAGTTTTCAAGTACTTAATAACCATGTACTATATGTTAGACCCTGTGTGAAGAATAACAAGGAACACAAAAGGAGGATGCTTGCCGCGTCTTATTCATCTCAAGCACCATGATTACTACTGGTTGCATGGAGTTTCCAACTTTTAACATGACCTTCGTCTGCTGCCTTAGTTACAGAATCTCACCCTTGACTTCTACTATGACATCTGAACATGTGACAATAACTATATAGCCTTACTGGTTTATTCATGTTAATGGCTAGCTTTGGTGATGAACTATATTTACTTTCTGAAGTCAATTAGACTGTCAACTCCGGCATCCAACATCCAGCCAGAAATGCAAGAGGAAGCCAACACACAAAAGCTAAGTAAGATAAATTAAAGTCAAAGACCAAAAAACTCCATACCACTATTATCACAAAATAAAGATGTGCTGTCTTCTGATGAATTACCTCAAGCAACTAAAGAACCATCCAGAATGCTCAGGCAAACTGCCGTGCTCAAGGTGAAGTTTCCACACCCATCAGGGGAATGTGAGAGAGTAATCATCAATGACAGATGGACTGAGTAGGCA